TCTTGTGGCCGTCCTGATATCGGCATATAATAAATGAGTCGTGAAGAATTCGTCTTATTTTGGTTTTGTTCACCATGGGGAACCATTTACAGACACCATTTTTGAGAATTTCCTTGCATAAAATAAAATGCACCATTGAAAAAGACTTAAAAACTGTCTCCGTGTGTTCAGCAATCTTTTACCTAGGATCTGAACACATAAAAAAGGATGGCTTACCGTGGAAATTTTTTTACTAGATCTCTACATTTGTATGCACATTACATAAAAATACCTCAAATTTTACACAGATATTACGATTCTCTCAAGCAAGGAAGCTAATTGTACATCTAGCTCAATTATAAATTTAATCAACCTGCAGTCATCAACAAAACAGGCCTTGTGTGGCGGCTACAATTGAAGCGGACCAGTTGAAACGCTGTGCGGCCAGGATGCGCATGAACAAATAACGCAATTGCCTTTAAGCATCAATCTTGCTTGTGAAATAACGTTCTGAAAAACATAAAGACGGAAAGACTGGTTCTTGTGGAGGATTGCATTGTCCCATGTAACTTCCTCTTGATAAAAAACCTGCTGCGCTGCATATTTGCTGACATTCTGTGTGTGGCCCCTGCCATTCAGCCAGCTGGCTGCCAGCAGTGTTTGGATATTTGACAGTTTATTGCTCGTGCTAATGCTGCCACTTTGTTTTCTCTACGTCAATTACCTCTAGATATCTGTTAAGACACGCTTGCTCAAGTTTTCCCACAGTCTCTTATTTTTCTGTTAAGTAGCCAGCCACCATCCCACTATGAGGTTTTGAAATAATCCAAGTGGCTGCTGCATAGTTGACCCAGTGCCCCACCTCTGGATTGAATGAATGATCAAGAGTGCAATCGTTTTTCTTTTCTTTTTTTTTTTTTGTTGCTTGTGCAACAATGGCGAGCAGGCTCAGAGAAGGGCATGGAGAAGGAGGAGGGTGATCCTTGGGCATTTTCCCAACCCCAGAGCCCCGCCTGCCTGCCAACTTTGGCCCCTGGGTGCCCGGAGCTAATGCTCCTCCGCTCGGAAATTCCCCGTGCTCTGAAGAAGAGGGGCGGTCTGAGCCAGCCTGTGCCCCAAGTCCACCACCGGCAGTACCAGCAGATGATCCGCAAGCTGTTCAGTAGGAATGGTTTGCACAACAGCGGGGAGCTAGGGAGTGGATCGAGCAGCTCCTCAGAGGGAGAGGAAGGCCCAAAAGCCCCTGCAGCCCCACCCCGGATACCCATGCTGGTCACGTCCCAGCGCAAGGTGAGGCACTGACACATACGCCCGTTATTGTTTAGTCGAGACTTTAGGAAGCAAGACACCTGTCCCTGGGTGGGACAGTCAGTTTGCACAGGAAAGTAGAGTCCGCACACTGTAGATATGCTCCCAAATAGTCAATTTATTGACGTTTCGACCTTGCGGTCTTCATCAGAATGAAGCCGGACAGAAAATCGCTCCTATAAATAGATGTTAAAACACCACCAATTGGCGTGGAGGGTGCTGGGTCATATGAAGATAATTGGACCAATAAAGTCTACACAAACGAGACCCTCTAAGAAATAAACAATTACTGGTACAAATAAATCCGCTTCAATCAAGTACAAATAATTGACTATAAAAAACTAAACCCAAGTACACACCCAAAAAAAGGAAAAAAAGGAAAAAAAAATACATAAGACAAAGTATTATAGCGGTACATAGGCAATATAGAATAACCCCTTAAAGAAATACATCAGGTAGTTAATATCCAATACATATAGATGTGGGGATTGGAAAGTACATCACAAGTTAAACGACAAAGGAGTACAGGCTACATGCAAGAATATGTACATATATACAATCTGCAGTAATCAAGTGAAACCCACCTACAAGAAAGGCCTAATATCAAATGACTCGTTGAGTCCCCTGGTGACAGTGTCTAATGTGGCTATCCAAAATGCTTCTCGCTTGAGAAGTAAAGCATTAATATCTCCTCCCCTAGGTGGAAGCTTGACATGCTCAATCCCAATATATTTCAGTGAAGAAATACAGTGCTGAGCCTGAAAGAAATGAAGAGACACAGGGTTTTTGAAGTCCTCCGTTCTAATATCACTTCTGTACTCAGAGATCCTCATTTTCAAAGATCTAGATGATTTGCCAATATAGGCCAGACCACAGACACATTTGATCATGTAGATGATACAAAACCCAAAACCAGTGAAGTTGGCACGTTGTGTAAATCGTAAATAAAAACAGAATACAATGATTTGCAAATCCTTTTCAACCTATATTCAATTGAATACACTGCAAAGACAAGTTACTTAATGTTCGAACAGGTAAACTTTGTAATTTTTTGCAAATATTAGCTCATTTGGAATTTGATGCCTGCAACATGTTTCAAAAAAAGCTGGCACAAGTGGCAAAAAAGACTGAGAGAGTTGAGGAATGCTCATCAAACACTTATTTGGAACATCCCACAGGTGAACGGGCTAATTGGGAACAGGTGGGTGCCATGATTGGGTATAAAAGCAGCTTCCCTGAAATGCTCAGTCATTCACAAACAAGGATGGGGTGAGGGTCACCACTTAGTGAACAAATGCGTGAGCTGATTGTCGAACAGTTTAAAAACCAACATTCCTCAACGAGCTATTGCAAGAAATTTAGGGATTTCATCATCTACGGTCCGTAATATCGCAAAAGGTTCAGAGAATCTGGAGAAATCACTGCACGATTTACAAGGCCGAAAAACCAACATTGAATGCCCGTGACCTTCGATCCCTCAGGCGGTACTGCATCAAAAACCGACATCAGTGTGTAAAGGACATCACCACATGGGCTCAGGAACACTTCAGAAAACCACTGTCAGTAACTACAGTTCGTCGCTACATCTGCAAGTGCAAGTTAAAACTCTACAATGCAAAGCGAAAGCCATTTATCAACAGCACCCAGAAACGCCGCCGCCCGCTGGGCCCAAGCTCATCTAAGATGGACTGATGCAAAGTGGAAAGTGTTCTGTGGTCTGACGAGTCCACATTTCAAATTGTTTTTGGAAACTGTGGACGCCGTGGTCCTCCAGACCAAAGAGGAAAAGAACCATCCGGACTGTTATAGGCGCAAAGTTCAAAAGCCAGCATCTGTGATGGTATGGGGTGTATTAGTGCCCAAGGCATGGGCAACTTACACATATGTGAAGGCACCATTAATGCTGAAAGGTACATACAGGTTTTGGAGCAACATATGTTGCCATCCAAGCAACGTCTTTTCATGGGCGCCCTGCTTATTTCAGCAAGACAATGCCAAGCCACATTCTGCACGTGTTACAACAGCATGGCTCCGTAGTAAAAAGAGTGCGGGTACTAGACTGGCCTGCCTGTAGTCCAGACCTGTCTCCCCATTGAAAATGTGTGGCGATTATGAAGCGTAAAATACGACAACGGAGACCCGGACTGTTGAACAACTTAAGCTGTACATCAAGCAAGAATGGGAAAGAGTTCCACCTGAAAAGCTTCAAAAATTGGTCTCCTCAGTTCCCAAACGTTTACGGAGTGTCGTTAAAAGGAAAGGTGATGTAACACAGTGGTAAAAAGGCCCCTGTGCCAACTTTTTTTTGCAATGTGTTGCTGCCTTTTAAATTCTAAGTTAATGATTATTTGCAAAAAAAAAATAAAGTTTCTCAGTTTGAACATTAAACATCTTGTCTTTGCAGTGTATTCAATTGAATATAAGTTGAAAAGGATTTGCAAATCATTGTATTCTGTTTTTATCTACGATTTACATAACGTGCCAACTTCACTGGTTTTGGGTTTTGTATTTGAGGTGGAACAACTGATTATTCCCTTGATTTTAAAACGTTTCCCAGTAACGGGGGTGATTAAAGGTGTGGCATTTATAGGTGAAATTGCATTGCGTACATCTACCACATTTGTAATTGCCCTTCGGAACACCAGATAAGAAGTGTGTAGGTGTCGGCTGTCTTAAATACGACCTAACCAAAGAAGGTTAAGGTGAGGACCGCGAGGTCGAAACGTCAATAAATTGACTATTTGGGAGCATATCTACAGTGTGCGGACTCTACTTTCCTTGCTTATACTGATTTGGTCCTGCACCTGTTTTACAGACTGAATGTGCGTGCACTTTTTCATTTTTCACAGTCAGTTCGCACACCTTGGGATGGGCCTGGATCATTTGAAATATCATTTGAAATATTTTTTTCCTTTGGATGCTAATAAAACATCTGTTGGTCACTGGCAACACTATAAAAATGTCTGCCTGAGCAAATATGTCAGTTTTGAAAACATACACCACTTTTGGTCTGGAGCAGAAAATAACAGCTGTTTTTTACCTACTTTTTGCTTTATATTGATGAATCACCATACTGGTGAACCTTGAAATGATATAACTTTTTCGCCTCTGCCATTTGTTTTTTCTAATGCCACAAAAAAGTAGCTGGAATTTTATATATGTCTGAATATAAGGCTGGAGTATTAAGATTGACTTTTTTGTGTTTGGAGTGCATTTGTTGTTAAAAGAAAATGTCTATTTTCAGTAATATTCAGAACCAAATTCTACACATTTTGGATGGCAGCATCTTTTTTGTTGAAACTTAGTCAAGTTTGGGATCATACCCCTTGTGATGGTCCTTCTCGTTTTCAAGGGAGTCCTTGAAATAATTCATCATGCTTCCAGCAAGTGTCAAAGAATTAGTGAGAAAAAAGAAGTAAATAAAAATGAACGCAGCTAAAACAATAAGAATAATAGATAGATAGATAGATAGATACACTTTATTGAACCCTTGGGGTAATTCATCCTCTGCATTTAACCCATCCTATAGTTAGGAGCAGTGGGCAGCCACAGAGCAGCGCCCGAGGACCAACTCTAGTTCTAAAGCCAGTTCCTTGATCATGGGCACTGGTAGGAGTGTCCCTATGATGCATGTTTTTGTGGGTGGGGGAAACCGGAGCACCCAGAGGAAACCCATGCGAACATGGGGAGAACATTCAAACTCCACACAGAAAGGCCCCAGGCGGGGTTCGAACCCACGCTCTTCTTGCTGTGAGGCAACAGTGCTAACCACTGCACCATCGTTGATAGGATTGGTGTGAAATTTTAATTCCAGGCTCTGATGAGCTCAAGTTTTTGAAAAATCATGTTCAAACTGGGGCTATAGTCACAAAGAATCTTAAACCTAAAAGTAGCTCCTAACTGGCCAATTTAGGAGTAGGAGTAACTCTTAAAAAAAATGGGTATGTCACTCCTAACTGTTGGATTTTTTCCACTTTGAGTGATTTATAAAGACTTTTAAAGCAAGAAGTAACTCCTAAGTATCAGATTCGCTTCGATATGTCAGGAGGACCTCTAATGGTCAATTCCATGCAAAATGATACCCCAGGGGCAATTTTTTTTGGTCATATATTTTGAATAATTTTGGTTTTGCAATAATTTACCACTATTAGTACCATAGACTGTATAAAAAGATGGACGAAGCAACCGTGACGTCACTCATTGCTTTCAGCATACCATTCAGGAAGCCTCAATTTTGGCTATTTGAATTGCGCCATTGTGTCATTTTGAAATCGGGTGTGATTCCAATTGGATGAGAGCGTGAATTGAATATCCAAGGAGGAGTGAGGGGTGGATCTACGTGTGGATCTGACCGTATCAGACACAGGACCAGAGGATAGCCACGCCCCTAAAGCATATTCTGGCTTTATCCTTTATTGTAGTCTATGTAGGACCATAATTTACAAAAATGAACATCATGATATATTGAAGGAGACTTGAAACTTGCGATAGATACAATAAAGTAATGTAGAAAATCATTATTTGAATAATAAATCAGGTGGAAAAGTAGGGTCATTTTCTCATAGACTTCTATAGGATTCAACCTCTTTCTGCACTGAAAACATGTTTTTTTTGTCAGTGAAACATGCTTGCACTCCTTCTTCAGAATTATATGCCACAGAAAAGTCAACAAAGCTCAGTTTTCTTATTTAGTCCCAGACACGTTACGTCAGTTACCGAAGAATGTTACGTCAGTTACTCTACTTTTTGACTCAGAAAATATAATTCAGCCAACATAAACACTTTCTTCATTCTGATTGATGGAGAAGTGACTGTCAACCTTCTTTTGACAGAGAGACTAAGATGATTGAAAGGAAAGAATTCAGAGAAATCTTCAATTTGAAAAAGCATGTAAAAATTGAGGTATTTTTTTTCATGTTACGTCAGTTACCCTGTAAAATGACAAACTGTGGGATAGTGCAATACGCAAAATAAAATCTATTACATGGGTTCTCAAGCACCAACAAATGCTTGAATCCCTGTGATACTTTTGTAGTGATCCACCATGTAATTACAGAGTAACTGAAGTTAAAGTAGTTCTAAATGCTACGTCAGTTACTGTGGAATTGGTCTAATTCGCTAAGAGAAATTCACAAAAAACTCATAATGGTTGCTGCCGACAACCAGCTTCGTCACTGGGCGAACATTTTTGAAAAATATGATATGGAGCTATAAAGCGGTATTGCCACAACACAAGTAAGAGTGTATAATGATAGTGGTGATGTGTGATAATTGATTGGGAAGCGGTTACCTCATTAGCAAATAGAAACAATGTTATAACTCTATTCCGTAAAGTTTGGACCGATCACATTTTGGCCGCTGGCAAAGTGCATCAATGTAGCGCAGACCAGCTGGGCACATCTCAGGCATCCGTGAGTAGGATCATTCACCAAACCATGAATGCATTCTCCATATCCCACATCATTTAACAGATAATCAAATTTCCTTTAAAAAGGCACAAACGCCAAAGGAACAAATTCGATTTTATGGGCATTGCTGGAGTATTGGGTATTGTAGGATGCTGAACACCACACTGGCGATTGGTGTAAGGCTTTGGTGATGAGCCTCCCCCTGAGAAATCAATTTGTTAAAAAAAAAAAGATACCAGACATGGAGCCAACTTTCATTTGTGATTATGTTCATGTTTAATATACATATCCTGAAACAACTTTCATATTTAAGGTCTGGTCATGGAAGTTTTGAAACCTAGCTACCTGTGGCAGATGTTTGCCTCTTGTATTCTGCAATCTCTGCCCTTGCTTGGGACATCATGGGATACCACTGCGGCTCTCACTCACCGCTTGGTTGTATAAGCAGTGGAAAGGAGGCATGTACTGTGCAGTATGTGGAAACATTTGTCATTCTGAATGTTTTGTCTCTTCTTGCCAGCAGTGTAATGCCTCCTCCAAATTTCCCTTCTTTTGTTATTTTTCTGTTATTTTTCTTTCATTGATGAGTTGCACCAATAACAAAAATTGTTCTGGCATTCAGTTCTCTTCTTTTTTTTTTTTTTTTTTTGGTTTGGTACATTTCTTTGCAAAATAATTGTCTTTGTTGTTTGAAAGGAGGCAAACGTTTTGATAGAAGTTCTTATTTCAATAGGAGACATCATTCACACGCACACTGTAGTAGAAATGCCCGTAATGCGTTTGAGAGGCGGTTGGCAGCTATAGACTCTGACCGGCCCTCCGTCAACCAATCACTGTGGACATAGTGGATAAGTGTGTACATGAATCATGATGTCATCCTTAACTACGAGGTCATCCACACCCCCTACTCTTAATGTTGGCGTTTGCCTAAGTCCTCAGTAAGAGTTACTCTTAGCAGCTTTGTGAATCACTTTTAGGCGGTAACTCTTCAGAACTTTTAGATAAGATTCTTTGTGAATACGGGCCCAGGTTTCTTAGCTCATTCACTCTCCCTCTCCTTCTGGACCTGCAGTCCATCTTGAAACGGCCCCGCCGGGATCGTAAAAGTCCTGGACAGCGGGCCCGGCTCAGCCCGCTGGTGATCCTACTGGATGGGGCTATGGTTGGGGATCTAGACGCAGTGCAAAAAGCAGCTAAAGAGGTACTGAACTTGTGCAATAAAATAGATCATGACAAAAGAAGAGGAGATGTTCGGTGGGTTAAATGAAGTAATCCCTGGCTGTTGTTATGTAGATGAGTGATCCCAGCCAGCCCAATGATGAAGGCATCACTGCATTGCACAACGCTGTCTGTGGAGGGCACAACAAAATCGTGGACTTCCTGGTACAGATCGGGGCCAACATCAGTGCTCAAGACTGCTATGGCTGGTGACTAATTGTTTCTACAGCTTTTGTTTTACTGTCATTCCCTGCTTGCGTACTGAAAGAGCAATGTGCCACACTTATTCCTGTATCCTGTGCATTAGCATACTGTATTCAGTGTATTAGCATACTGCATGTTGTTTGCTGCATAATGTTTGGTGCACAAAATGAATGAAAAAAATATCCTCCATAATATTTCCCAGCCATTCAGTGGAAGTTTGTGAGATTTCCTTGGAGGATCAGCAAGGCTCATTTCTAAAGAGAAGCTACATGTGTGAATGGGACTAAAATCTTTGTGTATTCCATGAACAGTATGTTCCTGAATGTGCTGAAATAAGTACATGAAATAAGTACATGAATGGTGAATTTGAAGTTGAAAACAGTGTAGAGCATTTGTCATTATACAACTTGCTCATCCAGTGCACTCAACATTTGTACTTAGTAGTGTGGAAGAGCTCTGCTTACCTTCCGTTATTTATGCTCTATAAAGAGGTTCTTACACTTCCAGAGCCAAAGGTCGTAGTGCAAAGAGCTACAGTGTGGCTCTTTGCAACACAACTATACAGTACATATAGTAACTCAATAAATTGAAGTAATCTATGGTAGTTTTGCCCTTTTTTCCTTTCCTGACTTTTCACTCAGATGCAAGAACCCAGTTAATGAGCAAAAATTTAATGTACGTTGTGCTTAAATGAAATATGAGGAGACTGATTAATTTAATTATTCATTTTGAATGTATATATGAACATATATATGTATATATGACTTCAGGTGACTCTGTTTGCTTTGTGTGGGCTGCTGTGCCTTTCCTTCACATTTAGTTTCTGCACCAGCTGAGCTGAATATATATCCCGCGCTCCCAGCCCAAGATTGGGATCCCTATGCTGACTGGGTCCTTCCTTTCACCCTCATTTTTTGGCAGGACACCCTTGCATTGTGCCGCCGCCTGTAACAACCGCTCTATGTGCGAGTACCTGGTACGGAATGGGGCAGCGGTGTTATCAGTGACAGACGGCGACGGGGCCACGGCCATTCAGAAATGTGACCCGTTTGCTGCAGGTTTTGAGGAATGCATGAGTTTCCTAAAGGGTGAGGTGCAGGCAGCTGTGTTTCAGTGCTGTTAAAATGCATGTACTGTATATGAAGTGTCTACAGTGAGAACCATGAGAGTTTGGACAGTGGCCCCATTGAAACTGGAATGGAATCCTACAGGATTTGCATGATATGGATGTCATCACCTGAAAAATGTAGCCTGTAGTCCGTACATTAATTTCATATACTGAACAAAAATATAAACGCAACAGTTTAGTCCTTTCAATATTCCGCATAATTATTTCTGAGGTTGGGTTAGTTGGGTTTATTTATGTGACCAAGGTTGTGTGCCGCTGGTCTGTGTGCATTTCAGCCACCTTCTCCATATCATTGTCAAGTTCATGCCCCTTTTCAAAATTGGCCTGTCAGACAGGTGGGGCCTGATCCAGAGCTATTGAAATCAGGTACAGTCAGCCCAGGCACATCCTGTACTCTGGTCAATAAAAGGCCACCTCCAAAGTCCCAGTTCTGCCATTGTTCAAAATGCCATCAATGACTCGAGCGATCAGGGAGCGTGCCATTGGCATGCTCAATGCAGGAATGTTTCTCAGGGATGATGAAAGGGCTCTTAATGTCCATGTTTCAACGATAAGTCGTATAAAACACCTTTTTGAGGAATGAGGCAAGACAGCACACTGCCCACATGCATCATGACCATGTGTGACAACCCCCACCCAAGACCCGCCATATCTGGATTCTCCATCTCTGTGGTCGTTTGAGACCAGTAACTCTCACTGCAGATGAGACAGCTGGTCCCCACCGTCACCCCATTTTTGCCAAAACCGCGAAAAATAATCTCCAGGAAGTCCGTATCTTTACGTCTTTTGCCCTTTGTGGATTGGACCTCTCCTCAGCTGAAAAAGTT